TGAAGAACAAGATTTTGAAATAATATATGGAGAAGAAATTTCCGATGAAGAAGAAATCTTATACGAAATTTCTAGTGATGAAAAAAGTTCAGATGAAGAACTAATCTTCATGATGACTAATAATAGTCAAGAAATATCTCAAGAAGCAGATAGTATATCTCAAGAAGAATTACAGACAATTCGATTTGGATATGTAATCGGGGAAGAAAAAACTTTTACCGACGAAGAATTAGCAAAACTCGAAAAAATGCAAGAAGTTGCTGTTCAAAAATTTACAAACTTTCAAAATTCAACTTCTTCTCAGCAAGAGTGTTTGAACAATACAGTTGTAACATTCAAGCAAAATGGTCAGAAGAAGGAAATATTGATATTCCTTTTTTTGATAAGAAAAAGGTTACAAGATGGAAAAAGAAATATTATGAAATTCAATATATTCATATTGGATTAATTCAAATAATCATAACAACCTTATTTCGCCAAGGGATAGATACTCCTATTTTGGTAGTAATTTTTGATAAAAGATTTGCTAACCCAATGAAAGCAATCATTGGAAGAATTCAGTCTAATTTGGCTAATGGAGTAGTTTGGTTTAATGTTAGACCAAATTTTTTTATTTCCATAAATGATCCTAATCTTGAAGATGCAGCTAGGATAGGAATTAAAACACAAGGATTAGGAATGAAATCAAATTCTCATGATTTGGTTATTCGTTGGAAAACAATTTACGAATTAACCAAATTTCCTGAAACAAAAACAAGATCAAACGATAATAAAATCGTTGAAAACTTTGAATTAAGACTATTTGACACGGTAATACAATCTCGTCTAATGAATTGGAGTGATTTAGAAGCCCCTCGACAATGGTTAATCTAAGACCTAGTGGGACAAGGAAAATCTTTTAAAATAAAAAATCCTACACAATTACAAATGCAGGCATCAGGAAAAAATTTATATATTGAAAATATAGTTCCAAAAATTAAAAGATCAACTTCTGTATTTGAAAAAGATTTTCCTAACAAATTATTTTCAAAATTAAGCATGGGAGAATCAAGTAATAATTCTAATCAAGAATCTATTATTTCAAACAATGTTCAGATTCCTATTTTTCCAGGAATAAGAAAACAACTTGAACATATTAAGACTGCATATATGTATCATTTTCAAACAAAAAATGATGATATTATTTTTTCTCCTAGCCAAGGAAAAAGAAGATATACATATGTATTGGGAACATTTAATTTTGCAGGTTATAAACTATATAGCCTCAGTGTTCTTATAGATACAAGAGCTACAGTTAGCTCATGTAAATGGAATGCCATACTAAAAGAAAAATGGACATTAACGAAACATCCAATTTTGGTTACTGGAATTGATGGCAACCATACTTTCATATAATTCAAGACTAAAAATATAGCTATTTGGTTAAATGATAGCAAGTTCATTATACTAAAAATTTTATGTTTTCCGTATATGCATGGAGATTTCCTTCTTGGCAATACTTTTATATATAAATACCTTCCAATGCAAATACAGGAAAAAGTTATTTCATTAAGTATAAACAATGTCTTAATTCATATTCCCTTGTTAGAACAACATAAATATATTTATGACAAAGAGTTTGCGCCCGTGCCGCGTGGTGATTTAACTCCCGTCATTAAAACCATTGATGAATCGCACTGGATTTATAAAATTTTGGAAGAAAATTTTAGTGAACATCCATTAAAACTATGGCAACGTAGTCTACATTATTGTAGTTTATAATTAAAAGACCCTAACGTTATCATTAGGGTAAGACCAATGATCTATACTAGACAAGATATAGATAAATTTGATATTCAACTTCAGGAACTTTTAAACAAAAAGTTAATTGAAGAAACTAGAAGCCCTTATTCTAGCCCAGCTTTTATGGTAAGAAACCATGCTGAAATTAAAAGAGAAAAAGACCGAATGGTAGTCAACTATAAACGGCTAAATAAAAATTTAGAATTTGATGGATATTTTATTCCACGAAAAGATGTTTTGATTAACTTAACCAAATGATCAAAAATCTTTAGCAAATTTGATTGTAAGAGTGGATTTTGGCAAATTCAATTGATTGAAGAGTTAAAAAAATTGACAACTTTCAGTACGCCTAGAGGACATTACCACTGGAATGTTATACCTTTTGGATTAAATATTGCACCATAAGTATTTCAATGGTGGATAGATATAATTTTTAAAGACCTTAAAGATTGTTGTTGTAAGTGCTGGACTATTCATTCCATCATTGTATATGAAGGATATAGTTTCTAATTTTGTCACCAAATTGTTTATTTGGTTTTTTGCTTCTTTATTTAAGTCGATATTTATTATAGAACCCAAATTGTCTATTTTAGATTCTATAGACTCAACTTTGGTTTCTAGATAATTTTGATTTATTTTTTAATTTTATCTAATTTAGAAAATCAAGAACACATAGAATCAGTAATATTATTTAAACTAGAATACACACTATTTATATTTGCAGACTTTTTAGTAATATGCAAACTATGGTCATATTTATTATTAATATTATTTTTTGTATTTCCAAAGCATATTGGCCCTGTTTGGTAGCGCTTATTTCCAGCTTATTTCAGTTTTTAACTTAATTTAAGTTATTTTGATGTGTTTGGTTCAACTTAGCAATACAATTTATAACTTTTTGTAAGTAAAAAATCAACTTATTCTTTAAGTGGGGGAGGAGAAGCTTAATTTATAAGTCAAAAATCAGTTTATGTTCACAGTTATAAGCTATAAGTTGTTAGGCTATAAGTTATAATCACTTTTCCACAGCTCTACCAAACGGGGCCGTTATATCGTTAGAATTAATTGCCATTATAGATTGTTGTTGATACCTAAGACCCTCCTAGTGTATTTATCCAGTGCCTAAAACCTCTCTTTTTTTTTGATCGGCAAAACGAAAAACTTTATTGATGAAAACCAAACAAAGTAAAGAGGATACATCAATAAAGAGGAGCTTGGAGTTAAGCGAAACTCCAACCTCCTAGTTGGTGAGAAACCAACAGATGAAGTAAAAAACAACAGGACAGATCAATCAAAACAGAACAAAAACCAGAAACTCTGTGCAGTCCAAGAGAAACTCAGCAGATTAGCAACCCCAGCAGTGTTTCGGCCATAACAGACTGAAGGTCAGCAGCTGAGAAACACAGCATATCAACAAAAACCAGAAAATCAGTGTAGTTGCCAGAGAACCCCATTAACAGTAACCAAGTGGGAAGCTCCAACAGTGTGAGAGACTCCAACCCTCAAACAAACAGCATAACAGATCAACTATCCATGCAGAGCACACCGATCCAAAATAATAGCCCACTGTCCTAAAACCTCTCTTTATGATCTTAAAGACTTGATTATGGCCAGTAGTCAAAAAATCTTAGAGGGTGTGGTTTTGTTGTGATGATGGGTGGGTTATGTTTTTAGGTGTCTCACAAATAGTATTTTGGTTGGTTGTACGTCTTTCCGGTTCTTATTTTGTGTTGTTGTGAAGCTTTGGCTTAACATATGATTGGCGTTAGTGTATATGCCAACTTAATGGTGTGACACTCTTTTAAGTAATGATGCAATTTTTGTCTTGTCCATCTTTTATTGATGTAATTATACTCTATGTACTTTGTTTGAATCAATACATTATTTTCTTTTGTTGATATAAAAAAACAAACGAAGAAGAAAGTGTTAAAAGAAAACACTCTGTTTTGCCCATGGTGGCTTGGGCTTAAATTTAGAAAGATAATACTGCATATTTGGAAAGTTAACTCATTAGTAGTTTTCTGGTCGGTTTGGAAGCAGAAGAACGATTGCATATTCAATGGGCATCAACCGGATTTGATTGCTTTATGTGAACTCATAAAGGTTAGTGTTGCTCTTTGAATCAAGTCTCACTTCCAGGAATCTTTACTTGCAGGATGATTTTGTTGCAAACCTTCAACATGTTCGATATAGTATTAATTAGTTGAATGCGGCGATTCCCAACAACTTTTGCTGGGTACAATTTTTTTGGGCATGGCTGTTGAAATTTCTCCAACTGTGTTGTTTCTTTTGTTCGTTTTTTGTAGGGGTTTTCTCAGGTTGCACATGATTGGTTTTCTATTGACTGCCAACATAGTTGGAATGCAATGGCACTCTTTTGCCCCATGTTTTGCTGCACATATTTTTGGTGTTTTCAATAAAATTACTTTTTTGTTTTGTTGATTAAAAAATAATTACATTAGGCGAGGATTTCCATAAAATTTCATTTCGTTAAAAATTGACAAATTCCCTTCTTTCCCTTGACCATTTTTTAAACAAAGAAATGGCTAGTGATAGATTCACTTAATTGGAATTGGGTTAAATAGTTAAGTATATAAGATGTGCTAAAATAAAAATCAACAAAGATAAATAAAATGACATGAAAAGCAATTATGATTACAAAATGAAAAATTTTGGATTATCATGGGCCTCAAGCAAAAAATTTAATCTCTATGCCAGATTAAACAAAAAAAGGAGCTTTTTTTATTCATAAGCCTTGATGACAACACAATATTATCATTTTTTTTATACATAATTTATTTTATTTTATTTTATTTTTTAAAATTTTTATTCCAGAAGCAATTGTGCCAACAAGTTTAGTAAGAACTTTGCATATTAATATACCACTATAGCAAATACAATGGCTGCACTATATATATGTTGGAAGGGTTGTGCATGGTAGTAGTGACCTCCAATCATACTTTGGCATTTTTCAAGTACTGGAAAACAGTGATAGAAGATCTGATTCAAAGGTGGAGTGAATATCTTTTTCTAAAATGAAAAAGAAAAAAAAAAAAAAAAAAATGACCAGACCAACACCATTTCTTCCCTTCCTTTTTCTTGAGCATCTCACTTGGTATATATATGCAAACCATTCTTTTCATTCTTGTACTAATAAATTCGGTAGATTGAACACCACTTGAAAAAGAAAAGAAGAAAACTACAAGAAACAACCGTCGTGAACATACTCTTTCTCTTAGTTTTGATTCTATAACTATATATAAGAATATAACAAGTCTCTAACTCATATTATGGTATCTACTCTAAGACCAGATTCACATTTCACTCACACGCACACAAAGAAAGAAACCTAAAAACTCACTCAGAAGCAACCGACCCCCTTCCTTTTTCCATGTAGGTAGCTTGCCACTGTCACATTCTTCCGGGGGCACGGAGAAAAGAAAAAAAAAAGAAAAAAGGGAACCCTGCATGGCTTAACATAAAAAAAAAAGAAAAGAAAAGAAAAGAGAAAGTAAAAGGAAAAGAAAAGAAGAATGTCCAATACAAAGGAGACTTAACATGCATGGAATGGAAGAACTAATGCTTCTTTTTATGTCCTCACCAATCCCTCTTGATATGTCTATGCCTTCTTTTCATTCATGAAGATACTGAAACTGTCAAATGCAAAATTACAATGAAAAGAACCACATCTAATTAGCTAATTAGTCGTGCTCTTTGCATAGAAACAGCCACTCAAGAAATTGAGGTAAAACTGTGTACATCTTGCTCTCCTTAGACTCTTTTTTAGCAAGAATATTATGCACTGGGTAGTCCTTTTTTTTTAATCATGTTCTTTGTCTTGCCAATCTGGTCTGCCTAATGTGAACTCCAAGCTTGGGTTCTTCTGATCCATATCAGAACTTAAATATCTCTTCACACGAGTCAAATCACTTTCCTGAAATGTTTTGGAGATGAGATACAATTATTTCTTAATTGATGCCTCTCATGTTAGACTATTTGTAACATATGCAGATGAAAAGAACAATGAAAGAAAGAAAATTTGTGCCCCATGATGGAGATAATGTTTCTATGAATTTTGGTATTAAAATTGTATTAAATAAATTTGTTAAATTTTTAAGATTTCATTTTAATTCAATACCTCTATCTGATGTCCGGATCTTTGTTGTGATGGCAAGGTTAACGGTCTAAGCCCATCCATATCATTGTAGTTGTTTTGCAGCCAAGCCTCTCTACTGCTGAAATTTTACATAAAACATTGTTAGTCTTTAATTGTACTGTTCTGCAATTAAATGTTCCTATTATAAGGAAATATGTACAAGTTCATTGGATACAAAAAAGTCCTCACTTGTTGAGAGTTGATAATAGACCTAAAGTTTATAGTCATCAAATTACTTAGTAGTAGTTATCATTAAAGTACGTATAGCATTTTCTAGTTTAGTGTGAAGGTATCTGGTTAGTCAAAATTTTAACAACTATCATCTAAGTTTTTCAGAGACAATTATTAATTTTCAAATATTTAAATGAGTCACAAGCAACTTAAAAACTAGAAGGCATTTTTCACAATGTCAATTCTATGTGAAGTTCTTACACTTAGGATTGGATTATTATAGTTATTTCCTAGTAGAATTAGAGTTTTGGCTGTAAGCCTCTTGGCTAAGTGGAAATTAACTCAACCTACCAATTACATTCCCACTAAAATTAATCAACATTCGAAATTTTTTTTTTTTTGGAAAAACATTTAGTTCAATCACTAATCCAACCATCCACGCACCATTCTCCTTTTTGGCGGTAAAAAAATAATATGCCTATTCAAAATTATGTGTGGGTATATATGCATGTATGCAGATCTTTATTAGTCTGATGAGAATTGGATCAAACAATCACGGAGCAAAGGAATGAAAAGGATAGAACGGGTTAAGCTTGCAAAAATGTATTCAAACCTTGTACTCCAAGTTTTGCAGATGTATATACCATCCAAACTTTAGAGTCAACTCTATAAATGACAACTTAATTCATACCAAAACATTTAATGATTGATTAAAACAACACCTATGATTAATAGCAAGATGTAATACTAGAAGGCAATTGGGCTGTAGATGTGCTTGATAGCAAAGCTACAACCAGGTCCACCATGTTTTTCTCGGTCCCAATCTTATTGCCGAGTTTGCTAAAAAGGAACCTATTGTTTCTCGCTCCTCAACTAAAGCAAAGTGTCGTGCCCTTGCTTAGGCTGTTGCTGAACTTAGTTATGCTTCTCTCAGATTTCCATATTTCTTCCCCTAATCATGTTTTATGGTGTGACAATATTTTTGCCTTTTCTTTATCTTCTAATCCCATTTTCATGCACGCTCTAAGCATATTGTTGTTGATTATCACTATACTCGTGTGAGGGTTCCTCTGATCGAATCGCTGACATCTTTACTAAGTCATTGTCAACTTCTTGTTTTTATTTTTTTCAAGGCAATCTCATGGTCTATTCCCCTCTGGGCATGATAAGGATTCAGTTTGAACTTAAGTTCTAGCTGATGCTCAGCCTATCAAAGTTCATCACAACAGTACTCAACCTAATAGCAAGTCACTATAAAGTAATAAGGCTCCTATGATTGAACTAACAAATTCAGTTAGAACTAGAGTCGGTTAGAGAGTTAGTTAGATGTAGTTAAGAGTTAGAATTAACTCTAGTACAGTTAGTTTTTGTGTAATACATGTATAAAAGATGTAACTCTTGTACAATTTTATTAAGTTGAATAAGAACATAAATTTTCTTCATAGTGTCTATATCAAACAATAGTGCCTTAACCTCGTTGAGGTCATTTGATACAAACTCAATACATGCCATTCATTAATTTTTTTTCTTCATAATATAGTTACAAGTTTAATGTTTTGAATATATATTAGTTTTACAATTTTGAATTTCTAATAAAAAATAAAATTAAAAATTTAACCATTGAATCAGATGGAGTATGATACAATGCTTGATATCAATAATTTATGGAGAAAAGCTTTGATATGAAACTTTCTCTGAATGAAAAACGTAGATCAGAAGTACATTATAGAAAAGGAATGGAAATTGTCTTCTAGTGAATATTTCTTCATCTAAAATAAATTATACTTATACTGAATCACCAGATTATTGATCAATGAATTGAATCATTAATAAAGAGAATTTTAACTTCTCATGTTTATAAAGGCAAGCAACGAAGGAAAAAGAAAAAAAAAATCTCAATGGTAGTTGTCATCTTTTTTAACCTGTTATATTATGATCCTATACTCTTTTTTTTTATTATATTTTCTAACACGATTTTCACAATTACAAGAGAGGACTTTTTTTATTTTTATTTTTTTTTATTAGATTTTATGATTGATAAGATGGTGATAACATAGTTTCTTCTTCCTTTTTCATTTATTTATAATTTTTTTGTTCTTTTGTTGGGTGACAATTTACAATTATCATGAAATTTACATAAGACAAGACATTTTATTTTAAATATGTAATAAAATTCAATAATATAACATGACAATCATATAACAAATCCAATAACTTGACAATTACATAAGAAAACCCCCAAACAAATATAAGAAGGAAAAAAAAAAAATTATAATGTGATTTTTGATATAATGAAATTAACCAAGAAAGGCCATACACATAAGTAGGGATGGTACTGATATGTTAATTAATGGAGTAAGATAGTTCTAAAATCAAATGATCTATCATAATCATTGAGTTGTACGCAAATTAGAAGAGAAAAGTAAATTATCATCCTCAAAATTGGGATAAGTAGGTTTCACTTTGATTCTTATATATAGCACTCTCATCTTTTATCTTTATTAGGATTTATCTTTGATTTTGATTCAATAAAATTTATTATTTTACCGATCAAAAAAAATTCTTCTTCCTCCTTTTGTTTCCTATGAATTAGTTGCCTAACTATTGATGTATCATTATTATAGGGATGCACAACTTGTAGGTGAGTAAGCTGATCATCCGTCCTAGCTCCAGTTCTTCTTCAAATATGTACATATATTAGAATGTCATCGGACATTACTTCTAAATGAGATGCCTTTGATGTTTCTTCTTAAGGATTGGATAATTTTTTAAAGCATCTCCTGTGGTCTGCTAAACCACTTGTCATTGCTAAGTTATAATAGATTGAAAAAAAATGAACACTCCACTAGTGTGCTATAATGGCTGCAAAATCTGCTACCTGAGCTTTCACAACCATCTTTCCTAGCAAAAATTACCCCCTCAATTCCCCAAAATTAAAACTCTCTTGAAAATAAAAACCCGCAAAAAAAAAAAAAAAAAAAAAAAATCATAAATCCAAGTAAATAAATTAAATAGTTTAAAAGCAAATATGATAAAAAAAACAATATCAAAAATCTTAATGAACAATACATTCATAAAATCTAATAAAAAACTATGAGATAAAAAACCATATGCACATACGTATAATCTATTGGAGCCATAAGTTTGTCTTTTGCCTTGTACTCGGATTTTCATTAAATAAAATTTCATTTTGCCGGTAAAAAAAATATTGGAGCCATAAGCTCTATGTAACACTTTCCTAAGCTTGATAGTTGAGCCGAAGTAGAATGTATATGGATTGTTGAAAGTTGAACATGTAAATCAGAAAGAGAGGAAGAGAGAGGGATGGGTGAGAGGGGATGGAGATCATCTGAGATGAAAAGTCGTGAGGGAGAGAGAGGAGGCTTGATGGTGGGATATAGTGATTTTTTTTAAGGATATATTGTGTGATGGCCTTGTAGAGAATTCTATGAAAGTGAGATCAATTTTTTTTTTTTGATTAGTAAAGAAAAATTTCATTTAACAGCATGAAATTAAAGGTATAGGAAGATGACATGCATCGAGAGAGATTCGAAAAGTACAAAAATACCCCTACTATTGCTCCCTCGCATCCATACAACCAACCCCTTGGCCTCACAATTTTTTTTAAAAAAAAAAAAATTAAGAAGGACTTAACTATAAAATAAAATACATGAAACCCCACCAAATCAACCCACCAAATCAACTAAAATCTATTCAACAACCCACACACCAAGACCCATGCCACTGCTGTTACAACTCCCAAAGCCCTCACCACCCACCCCTATGTTGCTGCCCACGCCACCCCTAAGTTGCTGCAACTCCCACCTCCCAATACCCACACCAACCACGCCAGAGCTGCTGCCCACACCTATGCTGCTACAACTCCCAATACCCACCTCTATACTGCTAGTCCGGCCGAGAAGACTCCACAGCCAACACCGGAAAAACTCCCACGCCAATGCTGGACCTTGACATTGCAGCTCCAACATTATTTGTCGAAGGCACTCACTGCAGATCATCACCCACTGACATTGCAAATCATCACCCACGCCAGAGCTGCTACAACATTATCTCCCAACATTAACTCACCTACAGATCATCTCCCAACAGTTCTTCTTACTCACTGCCAAAAACCACACCACGCCACAGCTGCTGCAACTCCCGAACCCACACCTATGCTAAGCCGACCAACCGCTGGGACACCAACCACTGGGACACCACCCACTGCAAATCCAAACACCCCCAACTAGCAGTTCTTCTACCTTCTCCAGTTCTTCTTCTTTCACCCCTCAAACTTTCACACGAAGAGGAGCGCTTGAATGAAAACCAGACAGATCTGGATCGACTCCGACACCCATGTTTCTGCTCAAACAAAGCATCGATACTTCTCCAATAATCTGAACTAGAGTTCACCCCTCAAGCTCCTACTCGCAAAAGAGCGCTCGAGTGAAGATCTTGGACGTCCCCTACTGAAAACAACACACCACTACCCCCAAAGAATCAGCTATAACGGCCCAGGATCACCAACAAATAACATCTACCGCAGCACACAAAACACTCCTAGGTGGGAAAATAATGGGGGAATCAAGTTTATTAAAGGAAAAACAACAGACAAACACGGAAGAAGCTAGCCCAGCCGACAGCCATAGCCAAAGGCGGCGGCCGGCCAACCCAAAGAGAGGCCCGAGGAGGAGGTTTTTAGAGAGAGAGAGAGTTGAAAAGAGTTTCGATGTGAAAGTGAGATCAATGGTGTGAGATAGTGAGATCAACGCTTTGTGTAGGGAGTTCTAAGAGAGCAACAATTAATATTTTTGATTAGCCCTTGTGCCAAAATAGTGTTCACATCTGTAGAGTAATATTTCCGAACTTTGATACTTTGACACCGTACGATGTCAAATTAGAGCTTCGACATTGTTATTTTGGCATTCACCAATGCAAATGCGCTTATTATATAAAAATATTTTATTTTTTGAAATAATGAAATAGAGGCAAGTATACTTCATAAAATAACAATGTTAGCGTCAGAAACTTAATTCAAAAATTAATAAAAATTTAATTGTGCAGATAACACGACTCACAATGTACTAAATATAGATTTAGACAGTGTACTTTATTTTCTAATCACTTTTTAAATTACTTGACTTTTTAAAAAATCCATACCAAACAATACCTAAGAATATGTAGTATATATATACATACAAGTATACACAAATACAAACAATAGGATCACCCGTGTATTATATAGTTTTCAGTATGCTTTGAAAAAAGGAGAACACTTAAAGTCAAGGCAGTGGTCTTTTTGGTCATATATGTATTCTCCTCATGAAGACAAGAATGACCAAAGTTTAATAATTAAAAATAGTAGTAATTTCAATTAGAAATAGTTCTAAAAAAAAGTAATAAAGTGTTACAGTTGTTGCTTTCTCTTATCCTAATTAGCTTTTGATTACGTTTCTAGCTCTTTTATTTATTTATTTATTTATTTTAAATATCCCACAAAAGCAACATATCTCAGCTCATTAGAAAATCTTCCAAAACAAAAAGATTTTAAAAGAGAGAAGAAACTAAGCAAAACAAAAGCAAAGGCTGCCACAAGAACCCCTTTTTATATTCTTCAAAAATGTGGACGTGTGATTTGATTTCTAGGTTAGGTCACCATGCAAAAGAAGAAAAAAAAAATGGACAAGCTAACTGTTCAGAAAAAAATATTCAAAAAATATTTAAAATTTAAAATATATGAGATAGATTTTGGATATGACTCACACTACATCAAAATTTAGATTTTATTTTATTGAGGAAAGCATTGTAATTTAGTTCTATCAAAATTTTAATTATGAATATTTGTTATGTAATTAGATTTTAGTCTTTTGATGCTGTTATTTTTTAATGTATGACTATATTTATTAATACGGTTTGATATGTAATTGTATTAGTGATAGTTATATATATTCTAATACCATTATTTCAAATCATGATCATGTGGGCATTTCACAACGTATGAGAGACAGAGAGAGAGAGAGGGGGAAGAATGCTACCTAGAAGAATTACTCCAAAGAGTAGTAGAAGGGAAATCTGTCTGTTGTTGCATAGTCCCATCAGATGGACCACTTTGGTCAATAAGCCTACTCAAGCTGCCCACTGTAGAGGTATCTTCTTCTCCAGAACCATCCGATTGGCCTTCAATAAAAACACAAATTTGTCCAAGCTTGTCAATGGCTGCTTTTGTATCTATTCATATACTTATCAAGTACACAAAATGTATATATATATATATATTTATGGATCATGTGATTATGTATATGTATATATGTATACAAAGCATGTATGCCTTTCTGCATCCATCTGGAGTTGTATACACAATAGGGTTTACTAGAATTAAGTATTCCAAATGGGGTATTCTACAAAATTTGATTTTCATCCATTAAAAAAAAAAAAAAAGAAAATAAAAATAAATTGTGGGTATAGAAAAAAAGAGAGAAAATAAGCAAAGCTGGATAAAAAAGAAAAGAAAAGAAAAGAAAAGAAGATGAAAGCTAAGCAATACGAATTACCTGAGGAAGCTGCAGGCTTGTCAGTGGTTTTAACAGTTCGATACATCTGCAAAGTCATTGGGAAGCATTTGCAAAGACAATTGAATGGAATGAGAATTAAGTGTGAAACAAGAATGATAAAGAAAGTTAATAAAGCAAAAGAAAAAGAAAGAAATATTATCAGTACCCATTTCAGATCTCTCTCTCTCTCTCTTTCTCTCATTACCTGTGCGACCTTCTGGGCATCTGGGTCTTTTTGTCTTGGTTTCTTCATTAATCACGAGGTTGATGTTTGCTAAGGTAATAGTAATGAGCTGTATTATTGCAAAATGATTACTTACTTTTGTCTGTTATCATTCGACTTTTCTCTCTCTCTCTCTCTCTCTCTCTCTCTGAGCTCTTCGAAGATCAGACTTCTCTTATACAAGTCCTATTCTTTAATTCATTCATTCATGCATTCACTCCACACATCGGCTACTGTGCTGGAGCAATAGACGGAGACCGCCCCAGACATCACACACTGAGCTGAAGAGAGAGACAGAGAGAGAAAGAAAGAGGGTTTGTTTCTTTTTTGCTGTACCTGTAAATGGCTCTTGACATGAGCGAGTGTGAGATCTTTGACATCCATGAGCTCAAGAACTGACTTTGGAGTAGCCCCTAAAATCAAAACCATCAAAAAAAAATATGAGATCTAATCTAAGCATACGCCCAACAAAGCCAAACATTAAAAAACAAAAGGGTAATTTTTGTTTTCTCATTAAAAAAATTAAGAAAATCAGGCGAAAGAGGACAAAATCTATGTACTTTCATGGCCACCAAGAAGCTCAACAGCATGAACAAATCGAGCATGAAGCATGCTCGTCCAACGCATCCTCGGCGCCCTCATGCTCCGTTTGGTCGGAAGCTTGGGCATGAACCTTGATCTCATCATCCCATGAGAGACCTCATGATGAGAAGGCCCAACACCATACTGATTGTGATGGTGGTGGTGCACTTGGTATGACGGTGGAGATAGCCCGTTAAACCTGCCAGCACCACTGCCAATCCGATAAGGTGACACCGATGCATTAGGCCCCGAGTTCAAGATAGACATAGGATCTAAACTAGTCCCGAAATAAGGCAAATTAGAAGGCGAGTGAGAGAGCGAAGACGAGCACAAAGAGGGGGAAGAAGAAGAGGGTGATAGTGAGGATGACCAAGTAGTAGGATAGGGCATTTGATACAAGGACAACTTGGGATCTCTATCTCTGGAAACATGGTCCAAAGGCAAGAATGGGAATGAACGGTTGTGATACACCGGAATACCCTTTATAGGCCTTTGCCCATCCGATACATCGAGCAACGAAACGCCATGGTTTATGTGATTTAACTGGGTGGTTGGGTGGTGGCTATGGTGATTCTGATGATGATAAAGGTTTCGTGGTTGTTCTTCAGCTCCAATTCCACCAGTGAAATTTGTGTTTGCCGGGTGTGCTAGAGAGAGCTCGGTGTCGGTTCTGAAACAAACCGTGGTTTTGGACTTGTGAGATTCACGGCGGCTCGAGAGTTCGAAGCTTGTGTTTAATCCAATGTTGTTGTTGTTGTTGCAAATCGATGGCGATGAACAAGTGTCGGGAGGGCTAATGTGGAGAGAGAGATCAGGAACTGGGTTCGAAGAGGGTTCAATGCAAATCCCTTCCAAGGGCATTTTTATTGGATCCTATTCTATCACCAAATGATGGCCTTTCTTTGGCTAATTCTAATTGACTCCAGTAAATAAAGAAAAAAAGAAAAGAAAAGAGTGTTTGTAAGTGGTTCTTGAGCTTTTTGATTTTCTTGGAGATTTAGGATAGAGAAACTTGCTTGTAAGAAGTATATAAAGCTAGAAAAGGAAACACCTTGTTATGCTTTCAAGACTAAAGGAGAGACAACTTAAAGAGGGACGAGAAGTAAAAGCAAGACTCTTCCCCATATCTTCTTCTTCTTCTTCAAATAGACAATACTACAGAGAGAGAGAGAGAGAGAGAGGTGTTTTATGAAGCAATGGAATGGGCAAAAATTAAATAAAAGAGGAATTCCAGAAAGGCATGGAAAGGAGGATTTGGGTCTGGTTTCCTCGAGAGTATATCTCGGAAAATGACACTAGCTAGAGCAATTAAGGTCTCTCTCTGCTTCTCTCTCTCTCCCTCTCTCTATAGTCAAAACACGCAAAGCACATAACAAAAACAAAAACATCAAAACATGAAACAATAAAAAAGAAAAAAAAAAGAAAAGAAGAAAAAGCAGATATGGTCTCTTTTGATTTCCTTCCCCGGAGACGACGGGATAAAAAATGTTAGAGAGAGAAAGAGAGCCTCATGTGTGATCCCTTTTCTCCCACTCTCTTTGCTTCTCTCTCATCCCATATAATACTTTTATTTTATTACTTCTAAAAATGCATTAATTGCAATTCCATGCTACGATAAAAAATAATAAAAAAATTCAAGTTCTCATGGGATTTTAAAGTTTATATTGTATATGTATATAACATGTACAAAAAAAAAAAAAAAAAAAAAAAAAAAAAAAAAAAAAAAAAAAGTATGGGTACACCCATTGACTTGAGTGAAAGAGCCACAAAGGGGTGTTTGTTTGCTTGCATATGGTTTCACATATAATAATTCCATATTACCTTCTAATTCCCTTTCATTCTCCCAAATATTCCTTTCTAATCTTTCAACAACTTTGTCTTTGCAACACTGGGTTTTATTATGTCTTCTTCCACATGGCCATCCGTCCAACATTACACATTGATTGAGTCCTACCCTTCCCACTGTGTTAGGGTTTTCTAAACCCTAGGCTGAATCAAAGATTGAAAGTTTATTTATAAATTGTGTAAATTACACTTTAGCCATGATTAATTAAAAAAAAAAAGAAAAAGGAGCCGTCCTATGTTTGATTGTGGCACTAGTCTCTCCAGAAATCAATACCAAATTGTAAAAGAAGATAACCCTAATGAAAAAGGCACAAGTGATTTTTTTGCTGAAAGTCTGTCAAATGGGTTACATCTTGTAAAAGTCTTAGTTGAAAGATTTTAACATTTAAGATCCTTCATCACATATTTTTATTGTGAAAATAACAAATTAAAAATCTTTTGGACATTTTTACCCACAACTCTCATTATTTTTTTACACCATCTCATTTTCTCTTAGAATCTCTCTCTCTCTAACTGCTCTTTCCACCATCTTCACAGCCACTGTTAAGCTCTCTCTAATCCGTCTCCACCCTCGCCATCGCTCACCATGAAACTCTCTCCAATGTCTCCACCATCGTCCTCGCTCATTACCTCCATGGTTCGTCAATGATGCCACCGTGTTAGATCCATCACCGACTATCACTATCTTTATTCGTTCGCCTCCATCATCTTAGATTTGAGACTAACGACCTCAAATCTGAGATCAGTCACCTCAAATCTATGTTGCTCTCTTTATCTTTGTCTTTGTCTCTGTCTTCTTCTCCCGATAGTCTATTTTTTGAACATTAAAATTTTACTTTGGTACGGGCAAATTTGAGATTAGAGATCTCAAATTTGATTGTTTAATAAAAATTTTCTAGTAACTATAAATATTTTGCTAAAAATAGCGATTATAATAACTGTGGTGTTTATTGATGATGATAAAATTTTAATATTTAAATGCTAGAATTTAGTGAATAAATCAGTAAATTGTTACGCTGTTAAGATTAGTTTGGACAGTAAAATTTTACTGTAATTTTTTTTTAATTTTTAATTTCATATGCAACATGGATGTTATTTGATATATCTCAATGAAAGGATTTAAAAAATATCAATTTTATTAAAATTAGACATTTATATAAAGAATTATGAAATTTTAAAGTTTCAAAATAATTTTGAATCCAAAGTTTCATTACATCTGTAACTTGAAATCATTATACACATATAAGAGGTATTTATGTCATAAAATGTTATTTATGCCATCTATATGAAAAGTTTCTTCTGTGTTCTTTTAGCAATAACTTTTTGTGAAGAGGGAGTTATAGGAAAAATCCTCAAGCTAAAATAACAAAAATAACATTTTATTTCTGTCACAATCCAAATCTGTCCCTATAGATTTAACATCGTAATTGGCTAGTAATTCTAAGTTTACTGAAGGCCTCTGAAACAGATTAATAAAATAAGGGGCTAGCGGAAGCAAATAACAGATATACAATGTCCATAGAGCTATGCAGACTTATATGAGATACATAATTTAACTTTATATTTACGACGTCATAATTGCGTTATCACTAGTACAGATAAACAAAAAGGGACTTAGCCCTACATACAAAAATAAACAGAAGAAAATAAAACAAACTTAGGATTTGTTCATATGGTTCACAAAAGACTTTTGGAAACCACATCGGGAGGCGCATTAGTTGGCTGATACAAACAGATCTAGACTGGAAGTCTCAAGCTTGATCAAACGCCTAATCACCTACATATATAATAATATAAACAATGAGCTGGAGCCTAGTAAATAACAGCGAAGTAAAGGTTTTATGAATAATGTCTATAACAGATTCAGAAATCATAATTCAGATTAGAAACAGATTCATATACATATTCAAATTTGTAAATAGTCATACATGGTACATCCATTAGCGCTAACAGATCAGATTGGTCATAAAGACCCATATACAGAGCAAATGGTCATTAAGATCCATATTTATATAAGACAGATGATTGTGCACAATCGTAACAGATAACCTTATAGGTTTCACAGTTAGTTCCATGAATGGAACCCATAGAGATCCCTGGTACCAGGTAACAGGTAACAGATATACATGACGTTAAGGATGCCATGAGACATTTCAGAAATAGGACAATCATTTATCTATATAGAAAATATCATTTAAGAAAATAGAGCTGATCATATCCATCAGAAAATACTTATAATTGAACATATCCTTATAAGATTGTTACTTACAAATAGCTCCAAAAGCAGAACAGACGAATCAGACAAATGGTAGTGCATGATCTACACAAATACATGACAGATACATATTGAAACAAACGCTTTGTAAACACTTGTCTTATTTCATTTCTTTCTAGGTGTGTTTTTAATCCTTATTCTCATTATTGTAGCCTAAACCATAAGAATGTTTAAGATGGAATGAGGATATAATTATGCACTTAGAAACACTTTGCAAAATTTCAGAAAACAGGACAGTTTGCTCAAGCGAAGCTTTGGTCGCTCGAGTGGACCCCTTGGTCTGCAAAAGTATTGGATGTTCTCATTTTACGCTCGAGCCAACTTTTTAGTTGCTCGCCAAGGTTTAAAACAAAGGGTGGTTGCTTGAGCCAACCATCAAACTCTGCAAAAGTACTGAGAGTTTGCAAAGTACGCTCGAGCGAAGGTTTCACCGCTCGAGCGAACAGTGCGAATTTTGAAATTTTCAAATTTGCATTTAAGGTTCCAAACACAAGTTTAACACATCAAAATCCATTTTTTTGGGGCCAAAACTTTAGAAATCACTTGAAAATTTGTAAAAAAACATGAAATGAAATTCAATTCACAAGATCAAAACCCAAAAGTAAGTGAATTCTTCAAAACCAAACCTTTAACTTAATGTATAGCAAATACATGCATTGTTTTGAATTTAAACTCTTTAAATCATAAACAATTAGGATGAAATGGTATGACGTATGATGGATTTTCAAAACAAAGTGTAGACACCCTATTTTTGACCGACCTTAAGACTCAGACGTCACCGATTGAGCACTCGGTGATGTTGCATATTGTGCTCGTTCTGAGGTTGCGGAGTCTCGGCTGCGAGCCTTGCCTCCGGACTTCGGGGCTCTTTTGTGCTTTGCCTCGGTTTGCGAACCAAGTCCTATTTTGTCTGTTTTCTTTTCCCGAAGGAAGGGAGAGGTCCCGTAGACCATCTCTCAGTGGCCGTAGGCTACGTTTCGTGGTCGTAGGCCATTTTTCCCGTTTGGAGGCCAGTTTTCGATTTTTGCAGCCGTCGGTCGTGCGCCTCGGTTTGGGACCGCTTAATTACCTCCGATTGCTCCGGTTTTTGGCACACACCTTATTTCCTCCCTTTAGAGGGACACTGTGGCCCGGGAGACCACCTTCGTGGTCATACGCCACTTCTGGTATCTAACAACCTGTTTTCGGGGCCCCAGACTGCGCGTTTTGGCCCCCGAACCTTTGTTTTACATCCGTCTTGGCCCATTTTTGGTAGGGACTCTATTTTCATTGTTAGGGAGGTGGTAGTATGGTGGGAGGCCACCTTTTCCCCTGAAAAACTAGTTTTCTCTTTTTCTCTCTTCAAAAGTCGATTTTTCTGACAGAAAGTTGGTTTTTCTCACTTTCGAGCCACAATTTCTGGCTTTTCATACCACCATTGTGTTGTGCTCATCTGGGAGGCCACCAATATGGGTAGGCCAACCAGTAATTCATCTTGACCCTTTTGAACCTTGCTAAAAAGCTGGTTTTCCTCTCACCTGGGTCACATTTTCTGGTTTTCCACCATACAGCTGTGTTTTACTCATCTAGGAGGCCACCTTTTTGGGGTGGCCGGCCAAAAGTTCTTCTTGAACCTTTTGACCCCTGGTCGGCCGACCAGGGGGAGTGGCCGGCCGGCCACTTGAACTGGCCGGCCTGCTTCTTACTTTTTGCCCTTTCTGAATGCATCACAGCTGTGCTATCTGTGAGGCAATTGGACCATCCTCCATACACGTGTATGGAGGATATGTGAAGCCCTTTTGGGATATTTTAGAGCCTCTCCTCTATAAAGGGGAGGCTGATCTTCTTTGGTAGAGGTTGAACTTTTTGGTTAGAGCTTATACACCTCTCTCTCTATATCTCTACACTTGAGTCTCCAAACCCTAGTTTTCTTAGACCATTTGCACTACAACCCTTAGCACTACACCTCCTCCATCCATTCCAGCACTTTGGGACTGATTTGTAAGGGCTGAAGGTTCATCAACTTGGTCTAAAAGCTCCAGCTTTGCTGCTTTTC